CGGTTACCTGCATGGGGGGCGCTGCTCTCACCCCGCTCCCCCGGTTACCTGCATGGGGGGCGCTGCTCTCACCCCGCTCCCCCGGTTACCTGCATGGGGGGCGCTGCTCTCACCCCGCTCTCCCCGGTTACCTGCATGGGGGTGCTCTCTGCTGACAGGGCTGTGAACCCCACGATGTCGCTGAAGTAGATGGTGACGTTGTCAAAGGCCTCAGCCTGCACCGTCTCCCCGCGCTTCAGCTGCTCGGCCACAGAGCTGGGGGACAGGGAGAGCGGGTGAGGGATGGGGCAGAAGGGGCCTGGATGTTCAGGTATTTGGGGGGCTGGGGGAGGAGGAGCGGGCCCCCATAGCACTGGAGCCTGGGTGCCAATGGGGCAGTCTAGGCATGAGGCCCTCGGGAGTATGGGGGGTTAAGGAGCCTGCCTGGGGCGGGTGGGTCCGGCCCATCACTCACTGGGGCAGGATCTGGTAGAGCAGGGTCTCGGCCTTGCGTTTCTCCTCCAGGTAGGCCTGCGTCCGCTCCTCCACCAGCTCCTCCAGGTTGTTGGCGTACTGCTCCATGCGCGACAGCAGGTTGTCCAGGATGTTGCTGGTGTTCTCCCTGCAACGCACGGGGCCGTGAGGATGCTGGGCCACGGGAACGTCCCTTTCTCCCACCCGCGCAGCTCCCTCTCCTCCAGACCTCGCCGGGGGTGGGGCACCCCACGCCAGCCACGCAGCCAGCACAGTCCCCCACTCGCTCCCTCTCCCACCCGAGGACAAGGACTCGATGGAATCACCAGGGTGGAAGCGGCCAGGGGCAGGGCCCCACGACCAGCCAGCAGGGGGCAGGCTCCAGGGGCAGGAGGGGCGGGCAGGGGGGCAGCTCGGTCCCACCCGTCCCTCCATGGGCTGGTGACATGAGCGGGGCCTGTGCCAGAAGGAAGTGGGGAGCGTCTGATTGAGGAGTCTGTGGCTTGGGGGGGCTGATGAGGGGGCTGGGAGTGACGGGGGGGGACGGGACACGGACGGGGGCGCTCACCTGTTGAACTTGCGGAGCAGGACCTTGATCTGGTTGAAGTCCGGCCGCTCCAGCACGTCCTCGGCCCAGCAGTGCTGCATGAGCTGCCCCAACTCCTCGATGTGGCAGGCCACGTTCACGGAGGGCCGGAAGTAGGGGCGCTTGCCGCTCTTCACCCGCTCGATGATCTCTGAGGGGGGGAGGGGTGGTGAGCCAGGGGCCCCATGGGCAGCAAGGCACAGGCCCAGATGCCCCCCCTGCATCAGCCTCCCCTCAATGCCCCACTTGGCTCTAGTGCTGAGCGCACGGGATGGGACTCAGGACTCCTGGGTTCTCTGCCTGGCTCTGCCGCTTTCCCCTCCTGGCTGCCTTCCAGTTGGCCGGCGGGTTGGTGCTCTTGGCTGCCCACCCCCCCTCCTTCAACCCTGTCCAGGGAATGGACCCCCTCATCTGCCCCAAATACGGGCTCTCCTGGGGGGGGCCAAGCCCGGCTTCCCTCAGCCCAGGATTCCAGCCAGCACCTGCCCCGCTGGCACTCCGCTCCCTGGCCTCCACCAGCCCCACAGAGGCTCCTCTCCCAGCACACTGCCCCAGGGGAGGGGGGAACGCCCCATTTACACAGCCAGCTCCCCAAAGGGCACTCCCTCTGCTCTGGGGCACCAGCCCCCCTGCAGGGCTCACCCCCCCCCACTCTCACCTTTGGGGCTCAGGTCCAGCCCCTCCACGTAGAAGACCCCGTTGCGCAAGGCTATCTCCTGCAGGATGATCCCAAAGCTGTATACGTCGCCTTTCTGGGTGCCCCGGGCCAGGGGCACCTCCATGCGCAGCAGCTCGGGCGCCGTCCACAGCTTCTCTGCGGGGGGCGAGGAGACAGGGTCAGCCGGAGCAGGGGAAGGGGCATGGCCAGGCTGGCAGGAGGGAAGACACCAGGGTTGGCGTGGCTGCCCTGCTGCATTGTGGGTACTGCCGTCTGGGGCCTTCCAGCCGGGCTGGGGCTTGGAGGGCCTGGATCCGAGCCTTAGGGCTTCCCCCCCAGCTGACCCGGCCTGGGACTAGCAGGGCGGGATGGGGTGGCTAGTGAGGGTCGGGAGGCATGGCTGGGACCAGCGGGGGTTGGGGGCCTATGGTTGGTGAGGGTCAGGGGGGCATGGCTGGGACCAGCTGAGGGGGGAGGCTTGCCTGGGATCAGCAGGGGTTGGGGAGCCCATAGCTGGTAAGGGTCGGGGGGGCATGGCTGGGACCAGCAGGGAAGGATGGGGGGGCCGTGCCTGGGCCCAGCGGGGGTCAGGGGCCCATGGCTGGGACCAGCAGGGAAGGATGGGGGGGCTGTGCCTGGGCCCAGCGGGGGTCAGGGGCCCATGGCTGGGACCTGCAGGGAAGGATGGGGCAGCCAGTGGCCAGCCGAGTGAGCAGGGGCTGTGTCCACCCCCGAGGGACCCCCCACCGTTTCCAGGGGCCCCCGGGGCGCCGCGGCCCTCACTGGCGAAGAGCGCGTGGGAGTCGTCGGAGTCGGGGGCCTGGCGGAAGCTCTCCAGCCCGTAGTCCGTGATCTTGAGCACGAAGCGGCTGTCCACCACGCAGTTGGAGGACTTGAGGTTGCCATGGGAGACGATCACCCCATTGTGCAGGAACAGCATCCCCTGGGGGGCAGAGAAGCGAGGTGGGGGGTGCCGGAGCCTCAGCCTGGGACCTTCTTCAGCGAAGGCCAGATCCCCTGCCAGGCCTTGCCAGGGGGCAGCAGGGGGGCTGCAGAGCTGGTGCCTGGGTCAGAACTGGGCTCAGAGGCCCCATGGGGAAGGCAAAGGACTGCGTATGGGCATTGGGCACTGCAGGGAGCTGGAGGGGACACTGCAGGGGCAGGCAGGTGGGGGGAGGCAGAGGGTCCGGGGGCTGCTGGGGGCCGGGGACTGCAGGGGGCAGGCAGAGGGCTGGGTGCAGGAGACTGGGGGGGGGGCGGGGACTGCAGGGGGCAGGCAGAGGGCTGGGTGCAGGGGACTGGGCGGGAGCTGCGGGGGCAGGCAGCTGCAGGGGCTGGGTGCTGCAGGGGCTGGGTGTGGGGCACAGGCGGGAGGCCGGCCGTTACCTTGACAATGTCAGTGGTGAGCGAGTACCGGAACATCCAGTCCAGCGTGATGCTCTCGTTTTCCAGGATGTCCTGCACGGGACGGGCACAAGCACAAAGAGGGGTGGGGGCTGAGCTACTCTCCCTCCTCCCCCACAACTAGGGGTCTGGATCCTTCTGCAAACCCTCCGACAGCCCAGTGAGACCTGCTGGTAATGGGGGTCGGGTGGCACTGGACTAGGCTTGGCTGGTCTATCCTGGGGCCAACCCCTGGCGTGGGCGCGGGACTGAACCAGGGCCACGTGCAGCCGGCACTGGAGTGGGGGGGCTGCACTGGTGCAAAGCGCATGTGGCACGGACAGGGGCTCGGCAGGCCGAGCGGGCGGAGGGCAGTGGGGGACTTGACGGCTCTCTGTGTTCAGAGAGAGCCGGAGAATAAGGGAGCATGTCCCCATGGCGCCTGGCTGGCCGACAGGGAGCCCGGCGGCCAGCGGGGTACCCGGCAGGGACCCCCAGGGGCCTCTCTCTCGGTCATTGGAGGAACTGCATCTGCGCCGGAGCGCGCGGCCAGGAATCCAGGCCTGTCACGAGAGAGGAAACGTGGGAGGGGAGCGCCCTCCCCCCCATAAATCATCCCGCTTGGAAACAGCCCCCGCACCAGCACTCGCTAGGCCCTGGGGAAGCCCAGCCGTGCCCCCTCCTTTTAATTCAGACCCCGCCCCCGCCATCGCCGCTGCAAAGCGTGCCCCTCCCAACGCAGGGACCGTCCCGCTGGGGCCCCCCCTCCCATGGGCACTGCTGGGGCACAGACAGGCCTGCCCACTGCTCTGCACATTTGCACCGAGTCCAGCCTGGACGCCGGGTCACAGCCCTTCTCCTCTCCCCGTCGCCAGGAGATCGGTGCCTGGCGACCCCACTTGGGAACAGCAGCACGCAGGGCACTGGGCATCAGGCCCCTCCCCTGCTGCCCCAATGCCTTCCAGTTCCAGCAGGCTCTGCCCAGCACCAGGCAAACCTTAGCCAGCTGCCACACGGAGCCTCCCCGCCACCTCAGCTGAGAAGAGAATCCAGGAGTCCTGGCTCTCAGGCCCCCTGCTCCAACCCACTGGACTCCCCTCCCCTCCCAGAGCCCGGGAGAGAACCCAGGAGTCCCAGCTCCCAGTCCCATCCACTACCCCCCACCGCCCCATAGCCCCTGCCCAGAGTGACCCCGCTCAGCTTCTTGAGATTCCCTGCGCCTCCCACCCAGCCAGTAAAGCAGAAGGTTTATTTAAGGACAGGAACACAGTCTCAAGCAGAGCGTGTA